CACGATATTGCCCATACTATCCAGAAGAAGAAGAATGCATTCGTATACCATTCGGGCTTGAAGGATAATTAATACCAAGGTTAAACAGTTTTTTTTAATGACGATGTTGCCCATACTATATATCAGTATTATTTTTTATTTTGTTTTTCCAATGTAAGATCATGACAGTTTGAAAACATATGTAACACATTGCCAAAAAAAGGCTTACATAAGATGATATATATCTGAGATTTTGGTTTGTTATTTTTTGTCCATCAAATCGAAAGATCTTAAAAGAAAAAAAAACAAATTGTAGGTGTATCCATTTGTTTGTTTTTTTTTTTTTTTTTTGAGCTAAGACAAAAATTCAGCTAGCCTCTCAGACAAATATAACCCAATCTTCTAGTCCTTGGTCTTAATTCGTAACGGTCTTGACGTCAGCATTTTGGGACCCACACGCTTCCTTCCTGCTCCTTCTTCTTCTTTTGCGCCAAATTGGGCAAAATGGCGCGCCCGCCGACGGCAACTAAAAGGTTTTGCTTTGCCGACGTTAACAACTCAACTTCCGTCGAGTAGCAAAATGTGTCAGTACGATGTTTTTGTTTTCAATAAAGGCATTAAATTAGGCATTCCACGTGTAGCAACGGAATAAGTTGTGGGCCCGCCGCCGCTATCTTTCTGTTCGGCTGCTCATTACTCAGCAGGTTAAAAAGTCAGCCTTGATTCTATGAATGAAATTAATGTAAATTCTTCATCATCGGTGGAACTTATCAACTTGCCTTCCATATTTTTTTTTTTGTTGTTGTTGAGGGACACGTTTCAAATATACAAAATCTTACAAAGAGAAGGAGAATAAAAGTAATAAAAAATACTCCATCCGTCCTATAATTATTATTCAATTAGTTTTCATTTTTAGTTTAAATTGTAGTAAAAGTGAAATTTCAAACTGGATAATATTTTTGGAACGGAAGAAGTATTCATCATCATCGCATCAGCATTGAGACATTCACAATTTTTGCTCTCATCTTTTTGATGTACACTGCTCTTGATCCATTTTTTAACATCACGAAAAAGAAAAAAATTAAAATTAAAATCTGTACGTTTTGAACATATGAGACCGTGTATGTGACAGAATGGGCTAAGATAGATGGTTTATAAGAACACAAGAGTAATATCTTGTCAGAATTTCGTTACGTTAACCAAAAAAAACAAAAAGCGAGATTATTTCATTTCCGTCATTAATTATTTTTCTGTTCGGGAACAAAAAGTCTTTCTCACAAAACCCCATTGTATAGTGACGAGGTTAGATATTAAACTTAGTTATACGATGACAAATTTCTTATAATCACGTGTTTCAAATATATATTTTTTTTCAGTCTTTGAAACGGTTCCGGGAAAATACATACTGGCCTTTGGAAAAGCATTCTATAATCAACATAAACTCCTTAGAAAGTTAGAACAATTTCTTCTTGCAATATGTTTAGGCTTTAAGCATTTTTCAATTAAAAATATGTCATGTCTTCCCTTTAAACGATTCATTAACTTAACAGTAAACTACACATTTTGAGTTAGTTTGTTTTTTTCTAGTGAAAATATACGTAGAGGTTGTGAACTTTGATTGTATTAATTATTCTTTTTGTCTCAAAAAATAAGTCCACAATGTATTTTAAAATTTGTATAAAAAAATATAAACTTATAATCAATTTAGACAACTTTTTTGGGACAAAGGTAATATTTATTTTTATTTTGTTTTCTTTTTCCGATCTGTTGGGACAAAGAATCTCACATCGGTGTCGTGAAGGATCTGTCACCTGTTTATAAGTGTCAAAGACCACCCCACTCATTGCTAATTAATATTGAGATGGGAGTCCAAGATGACTTTAACATGATATCAAAGCCCACGATCTGTGAACCTGTGATAACTACGGGCTCACGTGTGCGGGGTTGGACTTGCGTCAATCGCTTCCGTGCGCACGGATGGGCTTGTGAACCGATCCGACAGTATATCCGGAGTATATACCCGTGTGTACGGGCTTGATGACTGATCCAACAGTATATCTGGTGAATTATATTGTGTTGTGCAACCCCAATGGACTAAATACCTATTGGGCTTGAAGTACGTATTTGTTTCAATTCATAGAAGGAAATCTTTACCTTTGATTATCTCCATTTTCCACTACTAGGATAGGCATCGTCTTATGAAAATGGCCTAAACCATTTCTTTTGTTAATATGACCTATATTTTGTTAGATAGCTTGTCTCTAAAAATTATTTCAACGCTTAGGCACATAAATATTGCTAGAATTCTTTATTACCCTCATAACGTGATGATGTAATATTTGGCTAATTCACAGCTCCTGTTTTGTAATAAAAAAAAAGAGTTATTATTATCACCATTACTAATAATAATGAAGTTCTATAAATTCGTTGTTATAAATTAGTTTTAACATCGCGTCACGGAAAAGAACTTCATCAAGTGTTTCGTTTGTAATACAGATTATGTGTAATATTAATTAATCACAAAATTATGCTATTTACATTTTAAAAATAAGAATTATGTTTATGCAAACAAATTACTTTTAGAGAACGCAGAGCGTTAAAAAGCAAAATTCGGTCAAGAAATTAAACGAGCTAATTTAACTAATGAAACTAAACTAATTAACAAATTAATTAAAAAAACCGTTTGTTTCTTAATTGATTGATTAGATCGTAACCAACCATATGATTGACATTGTGCATGCGAAAATACGTCCTCGCAACAAATTAATGAACCCGGTTCTTTATTCTTAATCGATTCATTCATTAATGCAATGCGCGGTCAAAAAGGTATGCCTTTGAGAAAGCCACTGCACCTTCATAAAAGCTCTATTATGTGAAAGATCGATATTATTAAGTTACTCATCCGGTCCTCCCTTTCCTTTTGAATAATTCGATTTGGTCGTGTATATATATATATATATATATATATATATATATATATATATATATATATATATATATATATATATAAACATTACTAAAATAAAATAATACAGTAAAGAGAATTATCGCGATAAGATAAAAAAGTATACTCTTAAATCTTAATTCAATCAATTATAACACATCGATCAGTGATATAATGATCATATACATGTTGACAATGTATTTAACTCAAACAAATTACAATAGCGTAAGATCAAGTTGTGTGTCAATTGTCAACATAATTTATGCAGCATGTTTCCTCATAATTTGGGTTGGCAAAAATGAATTCGAATTATTTTTAAAACCTGCCCATAGTTTGAAAACTTGTACTTCTCTTTTCAAAAAAACATAATACAACAAATTATTTTTGTGGAATCAAAAGCGTATGGTTTATATGGAGTTCCAAAAAAAAGTTTCTTTGACTAAAAAGCGGGTTAAGTATGAGATCATTTTCTCTTTTTGGTTGTCCACTGAAGATAAAAGAAAGTTTATCTTTTTTGTTTTTGTTTTGGGGGGTGTGTGTGTGGGGGGGGGGGGGGGGCAGGAATAAAGGTGACGGCTCCCTCCATGCACGTTCACTGCCTTTGATGCATATTCTCTACATAATGTGCAATCATATGCAACAGTAAATTATTATAGTATTTTAGTTTAACAAATTAAATTATTAAGCAAAATAAAAAAGAGTCCACCATCTGTAACAATCACTAAGTTATTTCTCGAGATAAAAGCAATTTGTTAAATTGAAAATTGACCAAATGATTTAAAGTTATTTCATGCTTATCGACAAGTTTTGAATACTTTAACTATGATTAAAAGTGGAATCTTCCTTTCTAATTTGCCACAACTCCTCCTCCCCATTCAATAATAAGTCACATTTTAAATTAATGAAATTGATCCAAACTTAATAGTCAGATAAAAGACGCATGCATGTTTGATACGATCAAAACGAATACGTGATCAATGATTAATCCAATGCACGAGGAAATGAGTGGAATTGGAGAGTACGATTAAATCATCAGACAAGACGAGAGTAACGGAGGAAAAATAATATTTCTTTCGGTTTTCTTAATATATTAGACACCAGTAACTAATTTCTAAAAATTCAGAAAACTAGTTAACTCAGTTATTTTTTCTGTGAATTACCTATATTACTCATATTAAAAATGTCTCCATATTGTGTTCTCATATAGAAATATTTTTATGGTTTCTTTTTTCAATTGAAAAATTATATTAGATGTAACACAGTACAAATCAAAATGATTTATAATAAGAACTCGAAGGAGTACTTTAGAAGATATGGAATTTTGCAATATCTTTAAGCCTTTTTCTTATGTAAAGCTCAAAATGATATGAATGAGAAAGAAAACAAGATTAACATTTTAGATTTCTATCCAAAATGGTTGCACGAGTTCCTTACCTTATTGCAGCACTGAACAGACTTATGAAATTACATTGCTATGAACACAAACTTTTCTCTAATGCATTTTTTTCCCAATCTTTTTACTTCACCTTCAAATCTATTGATAATATTTTAAGTTGCCTTATAATTTACATAGATATAATAATGGGCACCCGCAAAACACGTTTAAACATTTTTGTTTTCTTAGTCGATATAATTTAAAGATAGTGATACATGCAGGAAAAAAATTACGAGAAAAGTTGTAATAAACGATGCGTATCTAAACTATGTCCTAACGTGAAATGCTTGAAAAGCTTTTTAAAAAAATGATTTGTGATCATTCCTTGTCAAAATTTTCTTGTATTTTCCCCCCTACTCAAATCATTATTCTAATCTGAATACACATCAGGAGATAATAATGTTTCTTAAATTCTAGCTACAGCCCAAGAAATCGAATCCTCTCCACATTGAACATAATCAGCCCTTTAAAAGTTGGGCTTCTTCTGGACCCAGAAAGCCTATGAACAATTCTTTTTGTAATAGACTAATAGGAATTCGTATAGTGTACGTCACTGCGATTCCCTCCCAGCTTCAGTTTTGTAATTCAACTTAAAAACTTTTAATAACAGTCCAAAAACAAGATTAATTACAGTATCAAAAAATGGAATCAGCATCAGAGCCTCCGCCTCGGCCGGCTCCGGCGCCGGCGAAAGCAAACTCAAGTTCTCCGTCAATTTTTGCCGTTCTGAAAGCCTACTCGGTTCCTCTCATCCTATTCGTCGCTGCGCTGTTCTTCCAGCTGGTGGTCACTCCTCGCTCTTTTCCGCCTACGCATTACAATGGTAATTTCCGTTAACTATCGTCAATTTCCTCGATTTTCGTACACAAATGAACTTATTATGTGCAGAGGATCATGCAATTTGATTGTTTGTTGAGTGTGAAATTGATACGTGTTTATTGTTTGAATTATTGCAGTTTTGGGAGTGCCGAATTATGCATCAATTGAAGAAGTTACAGAGGCTTACGAGAAGCTTGTCTCTCAAAAGTAATTCCTCCATATTCTGTTGCAATTGACTGTTGTTTTTCATTTTGGCCATCTTAATTACTTCATGAATTATACATCTGTATTGTTCTCGGAGTGTATGTTTGTTATAATTCCACTATATAGATTTGAAGAAAGAGTTGGTGTTTTGATGAAGTGACTAACTAAGTCAAGCATCTGCAGACCTAGTCAACAATTTGTTCTAGGGGGTCTATTCTAACAGTTAGTTCAATAGATTGGATCATTACAGGTCTCTATTCCTTCTTTCTAGACGCTGAAGGATTGATTTATTTGCTTCATTGGCTAGTTAGGATTAATTTATTTGCTTCATTGGCTAGTTAGGATTGATTTATTTGCTTCATTGGCTTGTCAACCAGTAGTGTTATGATCAACATGCATCGTAATCTTGATGCATGGATACTGTGTTTCATATTTCCATGTATTGTTCAGAATCTGAAATTTTTATTATTCTATTATTATTATTTTGATTCTGTTTGCTTGACCTCAATGTTTGCTGATTGATTGCTGATCTGTTAAAATATGTGCATTAGCTTAACTCTTGGTGTTATTTAGGGTCTCAACTGCATCAGTTACTCCCGTCGAAGAGATGATAAAGGTATGTGATATGCTTTTATTCAAGTAGCAAGTGTATAAGTTCAGTGTTCATAGCTTATTTTTCCATTTAAATCACAGAAAAAAAAGAATCTGAAACTTTGCAATGATTTTTGGGTATTTAGGGATGCAGGGTATGTGATATGTAGGTTTCCTGTGTGCTTAGGTTTAATAAGTTCTGCTGATAATGGAAAAAATTTATATCAATGCCGAAAGATGGGGAGAAGCATAGATGAAAACAAAAGTAAATGAAAGAAAAATGTTCTTTTTGGAGTTTTTGTTGTTACTCAACATGACCTCTCTTTGTGTTTTGGAAAAGGAAAGAGGATGTGCTAAATTATACATCCGTCTTATTTAAAGTTAAGGCGATAACAACATATACCATACAATCATGATAAATTTAGTTTCTTGGATGGTACGAGGACTTGGTTCTGTCTGCACCACTCTGAATTATAGATCTCAAGTGCTTATTGATTTCTAGAACCATGACCTGTCGGGTGTTTTCATCTTTATCTTAGAGATTCCCAGATTTCCTAGCTCTGACAATGCTCATCTACCTGATTACTGCAGCGATATGTAGTTTGTTCATACTGCCCAATTAATCAAGATAAAAACATCAGTTCTTCTTGGGTTTCTATTCCATTCACAACAAAAAAATCTTTTTGATGTCTTTACAGGCCCGATATGCGTTGGAGCTGTTGACGAATGAAATATGGAAGCGAGATTATGACAATTTCGAGATTGATGAGCAATCGGTGAGTTTAATCTCTCGGTCTCAACCTATGTATCTACATCAATCTGCTAAATCCATGCACTCTGTAATATCCCTTGCTAGATGTTATACTTCTTTTGAGTCAACAAACATGTGATTTACTGTTTTTGTAGCACGTGATCAACAAGATCAAGGACCAATATGCTGATGCTGGTTTTTCTGGAATTAGCGGTGCAGTGATGGAGCCTAATACTTTTGGTATGCGTTGCCATTTATGTGTTTTTTTTATGTTTATGTTTTTATTTCAACTCCAAATGAAGCATTCAATTACATAACCTCCATATTAGGTTAGCTGCAACTTCTAATGTCATAGAATCTTTTTCTCTTAATTTAGATCCAGTAGTGCATTCTTTTGGTGTCATTAACTCCGATAACTATCTCTCCCAATTCAGAAGCGACAAAGCATTACTCATTCAGGTATCTTCTCTTCTCATTTTCAGCCGATAGGCATTTGAATGAATACATGTACTGTGGGTTGAAGCTGTGCAAGAAATGATCTCAATGAATCCCAATGACACTTTTTGTGAAAAGACCTAGGAATCAAATTGATGTAACTGAAGTTCTGTTGTTTGCTATCTATCACAGATGGTGTGTGTTTATCTACTCATGATTTTCCTTTTTCCAATCAGCTTATTTGTTTTGTATTCATGAATGTATACATTCTGCTTGTTTTTATTTTTTTCCATAGTGTTAGTTTCCCCAATTTTGCTGATATATTATTTTTTTTTCCTTTTTTTCATCATATATTATGTTTCTCTGATTATGATATGGTTTATCTGTTGTGCAAGTGTGAAAATTTATTGAGTTTTGAGTCCCTTTACTTATCAATTACAGTTCTATGTGCTTGACCAAATTATCTATGAGCAATTGTACTCTATGTTGGGTCACTAGACGCAGTTACAATAAATAAGTAGGGGTGGCTGATAAGAATGTTTCGGTGGATGTTCAAGAATAGTAGATTAGAGAGAATTCACAACGGGAGCACAAGAAATAAAATACAGCTCGCACTAATAGATGGAAATGAGATAAAAACCCTTAAGACTAGAATTTGGATCGCTGTTTTTGTTTTGTATTCTGCATAACTCAATACAATTTTTTTTTTCCTTTTTTCATTTACAAGGTGAAATTTTACATTTCCAGTGCAACTTTCTGTATTTCTGTAAATTCTAAACCTAAACCAAAACTGACTCCTTACACAACCTTAACATAATAATGTGGATGTGCATAGGAACATTTAAATGCCCATTAAGACTAGTACAGACCTTTGAATTAAAATTAAAATATGTTGAGGACGGCCAAAAATTAATGGAAGAAAGAAACAATAATAAGGACTCCGTGTGGGATGAAGGCATAGTAGTTGCTGTTGGTGTAATGATACTCTTCGTGGAACCTATTATGCTAATTTTACAGGGTTGACTGCTCTAGGCATTGACCCACGTTTGTATAAGCCAGTAAAGCTGAACAGCTTTCCTTTTACGAACTTCATACCCAACCTAATAACAGAGACTGATCAAGAGAAAGGTTAATAGAAAGGATCGAAGGAAACCTGACAGGACTGTCTTAAACACATATTCGTAAATTTCCATGATTGACATTTTTACTCTGATAAACCATGTTTTCTACAAACTCACATCATGAGGATAGTTTCAATAGAATTAATAGTCCTTTACGAACTTCAAGAGGATTGAGATTTTGTTTGTAATGATTCTGTAAAGGTGCTTAAAACCTTCTATATGTGAATTTGGTTGATTAACTGGGAGATAAATCATGGTTTATCCTCATCATGTGAGTTTGTAACATGACAAATCGTATTTGTAACAGTTCAACTAGAGGAGGAATTATCATCTAAAGAACAGTAACAATACGATGATGATAAAAATGTGTTTGGATGGAATCGGAGAAGATGCAGGCATGTAATTGAGACTGGGGTCCTAATTCGCTGGGGAATTGAATTTCTGAACTTAAGCATTTGGTTGGTCGTAAAACTAAAAAAACTAATGATAGAGAGATGTTGAATTCTCATTTCACTTTTTTGTTATTCACGGGATCGAGATAATTATCTCTATGTTTGGTTTACAAAAGAAGTGATGTCTAGGATGAAGTCCTATGTTGACAAGGTTCACCAATTTTGCTTGGAAAAGTTCATGTAAAAAAGTTAATCTTCCTCGATCCCCATGTGCGTCCCTGTTGGTTTTCCAGTCATTATTCTGACTATGAGGGGGAATCCACCTTTTAGTGACTGTTACTTTGCAACTTAGAAGTCAATTTTGTTTGCCTTTTTCATTACCATATAAATTCCAATATGAGACATTCAGCGATGCTATATTGTTTTTGTATGTTGAAATGGCGCCTCAGGTTTATTCAATTGGTAGCAACCGCTGTGCTAACTTTTCTGACACATGGAAAAGAATTGGTAGGTTACCTCTTCTATTACGATTTCTTTTACTGTGCGGTACTGTTTAAATGTTGAATCTTTAGTCTTTGTTCTTTATCCATGCAGTTGCTTTGTTTGATGGTGTCGCTAATACTGGAATGGTCGAACTCGGTGATGTCCGCCTTGCGGCACACTTAGCAGAGAAGAAATCTAATGGACGACCTTTCTTCAGAAATGGTGAATACTTTTCTCTTTCCCGAAGCACTTTACTATGACAGTCGGTCAATTTAGCAGCATATGAATTAACATCTGTGGAATAAGATTTTCCTTTTTCTCAAATCTCCAGTAAAAAAACAGAGTTTGCAATCATATTTCTTTTTTATGGCAGGAGGGGGAGAGGGGTGTTCCTTTTTTGAATAATTTTGCGTCGTCTATGAATGTTAATGACTAACAGTAGTAATTTTCAGTACTTCCCAAGAAAAAGGTATCTTCATAGAATAATAATCAGGGGCGGAGCCAAGCCCTTACTAGCAGGTGGGACAAAAAATTTTGTAATCTTAGAACAAAATGTTTACACAGTTTTACTCTTTGCCCCCTATTCTTCAAATTATTAATGGGGCAATGCTTTGAAAGCTTAGTAAATTAAATAGTATCCAAAGGGTAATTGTGGAATTTTTGAGCATGTATGTAACTCCGCAATTGATGATAATATACACAAATTTAGCACTAAATTACCATACTAACTGGAAGATGAGATGATTGAAAATTTCCTTCAGAAATCACATGGTAGACTTTTGCGAATTTTGTTTTTCTCTGATAAGAAAATGAAAACATTTGTCATCCATTAACACTTTTCCAGAACCTGATTCAGTTGATGCTTTGATTAAGTTATTAAATCAATGGTGCGAAAAAAGGATGATTTATGGTGACTTCCTGTTTGTTTTGGGGAAGTTATGAGCCACTTGGTACTGCTCCTATGTTCTATGCTATTATACTGCCATCTGAAATATTATTCTATGCTATTATACTGCCATCTGAAATAAGGTGCGTACAAAGCTCAATTGTCAATTCGATCAAATTACAGCAGGATGATTAACTTAGTAGAGTTTAGGTATTCGTGGAATTTTTGTCTATTTTTTAAGTTCCTTCATTACTTATTCATATCATGCAGGGCTGCCAACACTATTGGCTTTTCCCCTTGGATGCAGTAGTCCACGTTGTCTTCATAGGTGAGCTATATAAAACTATGAAAAATTCTATTTGGATATTTTGTGGTCTGGTCTTCCCTTCGGTGGTGTGTTAATGAAAGGGATTATCGTGATTTGTTTGTGCCATAGTGCATTGTATATCTTTGGGAATGTTCAATCTCTAGTACTGTTTTGACAGGTATAGCGGAGAACTTTCTGTCGATGCAGTTGCTGATTGGTTCGCCACAACCATCCTAGGTTTGCCCCGGATTTTGTACTACTCAAAGGAGACGATGGTAATCAGACTAGTTTCTTGATCACTGTTGTAATGACAACTGAATCCTGTTTTATTTTCGTTTTGCCTTAATTAATGGGTTTAGAAAAATTGTCCAAGTTAGAAGTTTGGAGGCAATTGAATATCAATGAGAATATTATTGTCTGTTAATTGATACTTTATTTTGTAGTTGTTGGTCTAAAACTTGTTTTAAGATTTGTTCATCCTTTGTCCATGGCTGAGTTTTCATATAGTTTCTCTTCTCTCCTTACCAATTTCAGGTACCAAATTTTCTGGCCAAAGTCAAACCTCACAAGGTATAATTTCTCTTATATTGTTATTGGGAATTGTTTTCAGTATGTCATGGTTTGGTGTAGTTCTTGTTTTTTCCTTGTTTATTTATTTAGTATTTTCAGAAATTGAGTTCTTCAAACTTGTTTGCATATGCTACGGTCTGGAAGAAAAGTGGTTAGCTACCTTGATAAATTTCTTAATGACTTCCTATATGAATTTCACCTTCATTGCTGTCACGCTGTACTTTTGCATCTTTTGATAAATGTTTGTGTGCATGTCTTGTTTCAGGAGAATTTTCCCTGACTTTTTGAAGTGACGTACCTTGAATATAAATTGCTAGAATTACCCAGAAATGTTGGTTCATGTCAAAATTCCATAACAAGAACTACACAAAATTCCACCTGGATCTGAATTTTTTGCTTATTGATGTTGTCTTCCAAAATTTAGACTTGTCTGACTGCTTGTGCTACATTGTGGTAAAAAAAAAATAATCAAGATATCCAATTGTAACTGGAAACCCGTTTTCTCTATTAGGCTTAGCATCCTTATATCTACTACAAGAAGATTTGAAATTCATGTACTTGCGGATTTGACATAATCTTTGTTTTTTTGGCATGTAGTTCGTTTGTTAATTTGGTTAGTAATTCAGTATCCTAATGTTGCTCAGAAATCAACGCTGAAGAATATGTAAGAATCATGTGGGAAGGTAACAGTGGTTATTTTATATCGTGGGTCTGAGAAAAGAATTTCTACTCAGTTAAGGTTAAGGAAACTTCCAGAGCCTGTTTAATCCGCTTATTACTCCATTTTACTTCATGGGCCTGTATGTGATTTGCCTTTGGGGAATGAAGGTTTATCTAGTCTTCTTAGGTTAGGTGTTATGGATTCTCAAGCAGAGCAAGCTGTTGGTAACATTTAACTTGTGTTTGTATGGGACAGCTTCGATGATCACATTATTTATATCGCATCCGCCCTCTGATAATTCTTCAATTTGCTGGGGCTAACACCATTGTTTCTTCTGACTCATAGGTTAGAGTCATCTTCTTCTCGAAAACTGGAGAGCGGGCCTCACCATTTATCCGTCAAGCTGCTAAAACATATGGGACATATGCAGCTTTCGCATTTACGCTATGGACTGAAGATGACTCTACTTTCTGGTGGAATACGTACGATTTTGTTCTATCTCTATTTAAGAAACATGTCCTTTACCGCATTGTTTTGTTTATTTCGGGTGCATTTGAGGGGTTTGTGTCTATTTTCCTCTCCTCATGGAGAGCGTGTTCTCTGTTAGTTTAATGTTACTAGAGTTGTGTTTTACGGAGTGACAATTATTGTTATTCTTGAAACTCTTTGTTAGAAAATCTGAGCATACTAGTGGAAGTTAATGGATAATGAGTAGAGAGGTCTATTAGTAATAATAAGTAGTCTCATAATCCATTTGAGGAAATATCAACACCCGTTGCAGACATGACCTAACCTTTATTGAGAACCAACCCCAATCAACATTTCTCAGGTAAAACGAGTAAACCAAACCTGAATGCTAAAATTGTATTCTGTTACCCTGTGTACGCATTGAAAGTCCAGGGCTGGTTATGTATGTAAACTCAAAATTCAACTCAGAGCCATGCTATCATTTTAGGCAAACTGATTGATTATCAGATAAAATGACGATGCAACATGTAAAATGAAAATGAGTGCAGAGGTCCTAAGATTTAATTATATAATTTTCCCACGGGTAGAAAACTGTATAGGATAACTATTTTGATACCCTTGTTTTGCTTGACAGATGAGATATTCCTCCGAGTATCTTGAGTCCATTTCACTTGAAACTTAAGATTAATTTTTACTCTATCGGATGGGTTTTCCTGAAACATGCATGACTTTAATCTGACATTTGAAGTATTTTGAAACTATTTGCAGTACGTAGAGTCTCATCAATAAGTGTAAATGTATCTTTGCGTCACATTGTATCAGAGTAAAGTTCTATGTGGCCATGAATCTATCATCATCATGTTCTGTTGTTGTTTGCTGTAGGTGAACTTTTTATTCCATCTCACATAGTTGTATGTTATATAATGATATGTGAAAAAAAAAAAAAAAAATGTAACTATCTCTTCGCATTTTAACAGGTTTGGTGTTGAATCTGCTCCTGCAATTGTTTTCCTGAAGGACCCTGGTGTTAAACCTTTTGTATACCATGGCAAGTTTTTTTTCCTCAATTTGAGTATTTCTGTAATAGCAACTCCAAAACTCAATGGCACATTGTTCAAATGACCAACTTTTAATTTGTCACACACTGCAGGTTCAGTTAACAATTCAAAGTTCGTAGACATTATGGAGAAGAACAAATATCAGGGTAAAACTCTCTTTCCTTCTGTTATATAATTTATGCCCCTTCACAAACTTTTGCTTGCCAACAGAATCAGCTAAAGTATTCTATTCATGATTTCAGTTTTCCAACTGTCTATTTGTTTTTGCAGTGCTTCCACAATTAAGAAGCGTGACTGCATCAGAATTGGGTTGTGATGCTCGAGGTTACTCCCGTGCTGGAAGTGGGGTTAATATTTGGTACTGTGTCATTCTGGCGGGTAGGATGAGCCAGGAACTGAATGCAATGCGTGAAGTAAGCCTCCTTTCCTTGAATAATAATCTGGTGCCCTTCTTGTTGAGAGTATGAGCTATGTGTCTGGTTTTAGTAATTTATGTCATTGAATGATCTGAAAAAGATTCCAAACTGAAAATAGAGGCTCGACACTATTATGTTCAAAAGCAGGACTTCATGTTGCAAAATGCTGTTATTTATCCTTTTTTTGGTAAATGGTGTAATTACATGTGATCAAAGACCATGCGTAGGGTCCAAGAAACCTTAAACAACAATATGGAGGCACCTGCGGCACTAGCCATGAAACAGAAACGGCTGACTTTGACCTGGCTTGATGGGGAGGCGCAGCAGGTTATCCCCTCCCCGCTCTTTTCCTTCTTCTGCTTCTTCTTCTCTTACCTTTTCTCCTTAATTATTTGTTGCAGTGCGTTTGTATAATGCTTGTGTGGTGAAACCTTGACTCAGAAGTTTGTTGCATAAACACTCTTGTTGTGGCATCTCTGTCACTCATCTGTTCTCTTGGCCGATTATGTTTTTCTAAATTTGCAACATTTTTCGATCATATACCATATGGCTCTTTATCTTCCTTTCATGCTAGGCTTAAATGAGTTTACCGATCTTTCGGTAATGTTTATCTACATTGGCAATATTTCAATCATATACCTTATGCTTCTTTATTTTCCTTTCACACTAGGCATGAACGGGGTTACTGGTCTTGTTTCTGTAGGATTGAATGTTTAATCTGTAAGATTACTTTCTTCAGCTTCATGAAATCTAGAGCATGAAAGACATATATCTAGACTGGTTAAGGTGCTACTTTTAGGAATACTATTTGTGGACTTCATGGAGAACTGCTTGATTTCAAGGTCAAATTATTATATTGGTTTAGTGTGGGATGTGTTGATGGAAAACTTTCCCAGTTATCAAAACTCTACCCTATCTCAACTGCAGTAGAAAGTGACTTGCTCTTTGCTGATAAAAAACTTGAGTTTTACTCATACATAGCAGGTCGAGGGTTCGATTCTCGTTGGGGCCATCCAATTAAAAAAAAAAAAAGATAGCAATTTTGTTTAGTGTGTGGGTCATTTATCTCCAAGGATACATATCAGACAGTCAGACTTTAGCACTGACCTGATTTGTTATCTTCTGCTTGCTGGATGTCTCCTTTGAATGGATTTTCTTTCTGACAGTCTGTTCAATATTCTTTCTTCTGACATGGAGACTATTAATGCAGAAATATTGCTTATTCTGCATGAATTCGGAGGATAGCTATGAAACATGTGGCTCAAGAAAAGCCATGATAGATGTACCTCGACTACTTATTGTTCGTTATGAAAGGAATGAGACTGATGATGTGATTGATGTTCCAAAAAAGCCAAGAAATTTGTTTGAAGCATTGAATCATGAAGAGGCAGATCCTGCATCTCAATTAGTGGCCAAGTACAAGGGTTCTAATGAGGTTTCTGAGGTTTGTTTCTTCCATACATTCACTTAGTAACCATCTTTTTAGAATGGTTTTTGTTTGAAGGGTTATGGTTTTCTGCTATTTTTAGAGCCTCTATTAGAATTATGCTGACACCACCGGTATATTGAAGTATTCTTTTGGAACGATATTCTCCATTTTATTTGAGGCAACTTCGTGATGCTTATTGTCTAACTTTACAATAAATTGATGGGTGTTATGTCAGATCATTAATTGGATTTCCAAGATTATAGAAGATGGAGACTCCAGAAATCTCCCAGCTTTTGTAAGTCATCTTTCAATTATAATATCTCATCAGAGCCATTCACCTATTTCTTCCTGTATTTTAGTTAGCTTTTGCTTTTGTTATTGGATGTGGATTTATTTTGGGGAGATTCTCTAACGAAGTTTCCCATGCTCCGAGCAGAAAACAAAAAGTCCCGAGCTTGTACCAGAGGATGCAGAGTCCTTGTGGTCAGCTGGTCCTCAGAAGATTGTTTCCTCTAGCAAGGATATGAAGCAGGGGATCAGTGGCTTTCTGGACAGCATGCATGACATATTCAGTGATCCTCGGATCGGGCCATTTTTGCTACTGGGAGCATTGATGTTGTTTGGTCGTACATGGCTGCGGAGAAGTCAACCAGCTCAAAAAGATGTCCCAAACCCTTCAAATCCATCTACTGATGATAAGGTGAAAGTGATAGTGCTCATTCCTTGCCTTATAGCAGCATCGTTTATTTCTTCTCCAGTTAGTAAATTTTTAAGGTGTTAACTTCATTCATGTAGGATAAGATCTCGTCTTTCGCTTTTTCCTTGCTATTTTTTTGCTTCTTTTTGTCCACCCATATTCACTAAAATCCTTTTGATGAACTTTTCTGCTTACAGGAAAGGCTTAGAGAAAAGCGCAGAACTCAACCACGAAACAGCCTTGTACCTCCTTCTATGACAGATGTGGCGCCAGAGCTGGCTTCTCAAATTGAGCTTTCAGACTCTGATTCTGACTAGTACTTTACTACTACTACTAGGGTACACTGTAAGATGTTCGCAGTCCATCCGCAGAAGAGACTTTTTGGTGTAAATTTCTTTTCTTTTGTAAGTTCTCCACCTTTTATTGAGTTTTTAGGATAATTTATTTCTAGTATTTTACAGTTATAAACGGGATCTTAAGCTAAAAACATAATTTTGAGTCCAACGATTCATGAGTAAGAGGAATTTACAGATGTAGATAAAATCCTTTTGTGTACGTCTGGTCCTGGATACTGTTTGTAAACAAGTCTTCCTTTTGCATTTGTAGTCCGGAACATTTTGATTAGACAAAAAACACGCGCGCGCGCACACACGCAAATTAATCACAATACTTCTTTTTAAGAGAGCCTTTAAACTAGTGGATTGAAGTTAACTACACAAATCTTCTAGGAAGTTAACTGCACATTTCGTTTCAAAAACAATATAATATTTGTTAAACAGTGATAGGATAATTTTTCTAGGCAGGAATAAGATGCTCTTATAGTTCTTTGTTTTGATTCTCCAGAACCAGAATCGGGAAGAATAACCCTTTTGCTGAATTCTCAGCCACGCTGCAAACAAAAGGAAAAAAAAAAAGGAAAAGAAAAAGGAAGAAAATGCTCCACTATTATTGTGGAAACAGATACTCAAATACAAAATTAATGAAATGGTATAACCACAGAGAAATATAACAAGAGTAGTGGCTCATACACATTACTTTTACAATTTCGAGACCAATTTTTATGAGATTTCCTGAAAAGTGTTAAATAGTCAACCTTATTTATTAAATTAGGGCATATTAATGTGTGAAATGTATGTAGTGCAAAAGATGTTGTGATAGATTTCTATATCTAGTCATTTTTCTTGTTTCTTTACATATTACTTCTTCTTCTTTTTTAATCACAAAAAAAATGCGTAACAATTCAAAAATAAATATATTCATTTGGAACAAAAAATAAAATAAAATTGTAGTCATTTTTTAAACTTTAAACACACATCATGGGGCATTCGATCGTTAGTGATGAGTATGATGATAATAAGTATTTTTAAAAATTACATCATGAATACTATGGCAATTACGAATTTGTAGAATTTCTGAAGATAAGTTCTCTTGGGGGTATATTAGTAATTTCACAGTAGTGAACCTGCAGCCAGTACAGCATTATAAACTTTTCTGCCGGAGAGGAGGACTAATCGCTAGCGGGGAGAGCTGTTTTTTGGTGTTTCGACCTTAATTTCTTCGTAAACTCTTCACGAAGATCAAACTTTAGAGGTAAATTCCCTCAAACCCATTTCAGATTATGCGCCCTAATCAATTTTTGTACCGCTCAATGCTTTGAATTTGAGTTTACTTCCATCTGTACTGACTCTACTGACTCCTGTGTGGAAAATATCGTGCCTAATTCTGCTGTTTATTTATTTTTGTTAACGATTCTGCTGTTTATTACTTCTATTAGTTGAATATGCGATTTTATCTTCTTTTCTTGTTTACCTTAGAGAAAGTATCTTTCTTTCTGTTTCTCTGTTATAATAGGTTCATTGAGGCATATGGTGTAGGACTTGGGAAGTTTTTGATAAGCAATAGTTCCATTATTAATTGGTATTGGTTGCGATCAGAAGTTGATTGCTTTGCGTGGTTTTGGGAAACCAATTGGATTTGCTTTTGTGGGTAGTCAAATTTTCTTCATGACTGATGCTTCCTCATTCTTGAGAGGGCAGTTGGTTCTTTTTACCTTTTTTTTTTCTTTTTTTTTGGTTTGAATTTACGTCACACGAATTTATGTAGCTACTGAATTTTGATTGGTGAATGAAAGATAGTGGCCCGAGTATGATTTGTGTGTCTCATATCTTCAGGTCAGGACCCAAAAAAATTGACCTTGAAACTCATACATATTGCTATAAAACAAGCTGGTGTTTTATCTTTTTATGTTCATTGATAAATTTGAGTTTTGAAACCTTCATAAGATCTTTCAGATGTTAGTTTGTTTGTGTTGACTCTGTCTGTAGACAACCAACCATTTTTACTTGCGATTTTGTCAACCAGACTTGAAGATCCTGGATTTTCAGTGCTTTCCAGCTAGTTGAATTTTGTTTTAATTTTTGACCTGCTTTTCTTACTGGGTGTGAGGGTTTCTTCTGGATTTTGAATGTTCAAGCTTAGTGTTCTGTTTGTCAGAGTGAAACATGGAGCATTCATTGATTTTCTTGCCTTTTACTATTACGGTCTTCTTCAAACTCTATGTCGGCAACTGCTTCCAGTTTTCGCAAGCTTTCTATTCTTAGTGCTTTTATATTCTTTGCAGTTGAACAGAAACTAGATAATAACTTTTATGTTGCTTCACCTGAGGTATTTGACATTCACATGGTTTTGGTGTTATATCCATTGCAGCCATTTGGCCAAAAAGCATTTGCACATGATGTCCCTTAATTTGACCTTTCCATGACTCCATCATCTTCTCACTGTATCCGAATAATATTGTAGGTAGATATGGGGAAGGATTCCAAGCCAAAGGAAGGTGGGAAAGGTAAAGGGAAGCAGGCTGCTGGTAGTAGCGATGATGGTGGTTCCAAGGGTAAAGGAAAGGGTGGGAAGTCTTCTGATGGACTTGGGACCTGCACATATGTTAAAGGTTTAGTCATTGATCCTTGCTCATTATTATGTTAAGAAGAGCTGTTTTAGAAGTATAAGAGTCTTGCCATTCTTGCATCTAAGCCTAATAACACAGTAAAAGTTAGCTGGCTCTTTCATAAATAGGTGCATAAGTTGGATAAACTGTCTCATAGTTTTTCTACGAACAATAGCTATAAAGAATCTTTTTTAGAGAGCTTTTTGCCTGTTCATTGCCTTCTCTAGGTTTTCTTTGAAATCTCTACATTTTGATATTTGGAAAGACACTATATTCCTTTTCTATGTGATTTTGCCACTGCCAATGCATTTCGTGCATACTTTATCATGTTTACCGTAACTACACCTGTTTAATAAGAGACTTCTCACTTTTTTTCCGTCGCTTTTTACAGCTAGGCACATCTTATGCGAGAAGCAAGGGAAGATCAATGAAGCTTACAAGAAACTGCTAGATGGCTGGCTCAGTAATGGGGATAAGGTGCCTCCAGCTGAATTTGCTAAGGTGAATTTTCACTGTCATTCCCATTTGGTGTACTCTTAAACATCTACTTGTTCTTGTTTTCATTCGGTGTGTTAGAATTGACAAGCGGTAGATACCACCCTGTAATATCTTAGACTGATACTTGGAAAAGATTGTGGTTGGGTGAAAGGGTCGTTTTCATGTTATTGTGAAAGATTTACAATTACAGCTTTCCCTTGCCTTTTTCAGCTAGCAGCAGAGTATTCTGAATGTCCATCTGGGAAAAAAGGTGGCGACTTGGGATGGTTTCCGCGTGGTAAGATGGCTGGTCCATTTCAAGAAGTTGCCTTCAACACAGTTGTCGGAGCTACAAGTGCACCATTCAAATCAACGTAGGTTTACATGACCTTTTGTACTTTGTTAGTCTCTTTATGAATTTGTTTTGCTTTTAGGAGAGATCATTTGAGTTCCAAATCAATTGACAATTGTCTTTGATGTGCTGCAGGCATGGATATCACATTATTTTGTGCGAGGGGCGGAAAAATTGAGACATCTCAGAACTTGGCTTTTCTTGGTAGCTACAATCTACCTTCGAGTGAGTTGGTTATCTTGCACCAAGAGTGGCAGTATCATCATGTCTCAAACATAAATGACTTGACAGTACTTTTGCTTTGAATCCTGTAATGGTACTGTGATCATCGTGAAGTGCAGAGTTTGCATCACTTCGAGTGAAACATAATCCATGTGTTAATTTTAGCTATCTTGTGTTTTGTTGAGTGGTTTTATTTCTTACGTTTGAAGAAAAGGCAACACCTCTGTTGCGGTGGTTTCATTCTAGATATCTTCAGAGTAGTGTGCTCGTAAAACTGTAAATAGCCCCAAAATTTAGAAAGTTCGAGTTTGGAGGATGCGGAGTCTTAAAAGCTCGAGGAGCTTAAACTTGTGAGCGAGTCCACACTGAAGATAGAATCTCTCTAAAGCTTGTACTGAAGCTGCAGTCTGAAAAATCATTTTGGTAGAAGCTTACCAAGTCATCTGTCATCAATCCAATCAATAGTTTCATAAAAATTTAATTCAATCATTACAAATTTTTTGTCATCAATCCAATCAATAGTTACAAAAAATTTAATTCAACTTAAAAATGCGTTTATGACTTTCTGTATACTTCGCTCCCAGTGAAAGTACTTTTTGAGTGTATTCTACGCTAACAATGGGATCGTTGCAGACTAATTCTATTTTGTTCATATAAATATCGCCTTCATAAATTTTTATCTTTCTCTACAAGTTTAAGACCCAAATTCCTGTCTTCACAATGCTGAACGTGAGGAACAATCTGGCCTGCATCAACCTTTTTCTTGTTTCCACAACCATAAGCTGGAGGCGCATGAAAACAAGGTTCCATTGATACAGCTTGTTGGCAAGGTGGACCTAGTGCTGTTTGATTGGTAGGTATCATAAGAATCCATGGCTTCAAACCTCCAAGACTTTGAGCAACATAGCCGAAGGTTGATCCAGCGCTCGTGACTAAGTTGTCACTCAAACTCAACAGGTATATTTCTGCCAATGCTTTTATATTATGCATCTTATTCCCACTCTGTTGATACTCTTCATGGCTTGGCTGGTATACTTCAATTATATCTCCTGTGGCAGTTTGATGTCCATGGTACATAACTCTTAATGCCTCAGAGTATCTAGAGCTTAAAGATGTGATTATCACAGCTTTAGTCTTCAGCTGTTTAGATCGATACATGATAGGCTTCTTGTCAATGATTTCTGGTAGCAGAACCTCCTTTCTTAAGCAACCCAAAACCAGGTCCATTACATAATCATAGAGGCCAGAATATTTTCCAAATGTTCTTATCTGGATGCCTGTAACTTCATCTGCTCTGGACAGATAAGCCTCGTAAAACCTGGCGATCAGTTCCCGAACTACGTCGGTAGGATGAAAGAGGTACCTGCCCAAGAGATGGAAAACAGCTTCTTTATCCGGAAAGAGATTATGGAGTTCTTCTTCAAATGATTCAATAAGAAAAAGGGACGGGATGAAATAGTTGTTTGTTTTGATGATCAGCCAAGGTACTTTTTGTAGAGGAGTTTGTTCTTCATCACAGAAGAAAAGCTTGTCACGGTTAGCATAGTCATGAGCCAAGTGTAGATACACAAATGCTGGCAATGAGTATTCAGTTGAATTCCGGAAATTATTTTGTCTGAGAATATTTCCGTAGCTGTACGGAGATCTCTGATAGAAAGTTTTGAACTTATCAATGATGGGAAAATCAGGGGGAAGCAACCAAGACACCTCAGGAAATGGTTCACAGAAAAGATCCGAGATGTATCCTCCAGGATGAACTAGTAAGACTCTATTTGTTAAGAAAGCATAAAGGAAAACAGAAGCCAAGGTGAGCATTCTGTTTCCTATGCCGCCAAGCGCAATCCAGACAACATAATTGCACTCTGTTGCTAAAGTACCATTGTGTTGCGCTGATTTTAAAGACTCTAAGGTCCTTTTATAGGATTCTGTGTACGGTCCACATTTTTTATGCAGCACTTCGTATCTTCGTAATCTGGAGATGAGATAGGAAGAAGGATGTTTTGTTGGTTGCTTATGATACAAGGCTTCCTGATACCTACTCAGGCAGGAGTTTTCGTCGAATCCTTGAGGAAGAAGGCCTCCAAGAAGCTTATCAGTCATTGGTGGTTGACGTTGCTCATCTGGAACAAAGGGAAAGATTGCATAACACATTAATCTTTTACTGAAAAAACCGAGATATAAGAGCTCAGGTGAGGCGACTGCTACCATTTTTAGCTCAGATGCTGCATTTTTCGCCTTTTAAACAGAAACCAAAAGGCAAAAACCACGATAAGCTGACTTCAACTCTTGAGTAACTGAGAATAAGATGCAAGAATTACCTTTCCTCTTGAATAGTTTGAAGTCGTATGGAGCTACCCAGATGCCATTTTTTGGGGATGGATCCTTCAATACCGAAAACAGAACAGAGCCCGCGGAACAAACTAGGAAAATTAGCATTGCTTTTGTTAGGTTTCGGAGGGGTTTTGGCTTTTCACCCTTTGGAATTTGGCCATTTTGTGGTTCCTCAGGCTTGGTTTGACTGCTGTCATCTTTCTCACACTTGGACATGGCATTCAACAAATCTTTCATCATGTGTTGTGTCCACTGTCCAGTGGAAATGATTCTAGTAACAACAAAAAAAATAATCCAGTGAAGGTCGGAAAGATTAACGTTTTAGTATGAACAACATTAATCAATGATCGATGACTTTGTGCATTAATGAAGTGTCGACATAGGAATTTGGGAAGGTTAACGTGCAGCTTTTGGAACAAAACAAATCCCATGTTACTAGCCTTGGAGCGAGTTCCCCCCAGGAAAAACTAAACAAAACCATTAAAATAAAACATTTGCTAGTTTTGAAGTGAATGATTCGATCATCCCTCATGTGATCATATGTAGATTTCTGCATCGATTTTAAATTGTGGTCGCTACTATACATGCAGAAGCCATTTTTATGGGAGATAAATCCTTCAGTACTGAAAACAGAACAAGAATCCCTGGAGCAGGGTACGAGAAATCAATCCCTTTGATTCCCAACGGGTTTGTGGACTTCTCTCCTTGAAATTATTATCCTCAGGCTTTCTCAAACTTCTGATACTCCAACCGAATCTTACAGCATGTGGTTTCTGGAAATGATAAACTACTAGTATTACTACTACTTCGAAAAGATTAATGTTTAAATATGGAAAATAGTACTAGTATTAATGATGGGTGTCTTTTTGCATTAATAATAATAGAGTCTCAGCGTAGGAATTTGGAAGGTCAACTCGCAGATTGTAGCAAACTCCATGTGGCCTCGGAGCAAGTTTTCAGGGACAACAACACAATGTAAAATGATGATCCGGATTCGAGCCGTTAAATCCTTTTCGGAAAGTAAAAATCTTCCAATAAGTATTTTAGGAGTAGGATATATTATGCCATTAGAATAGATCATAACGCATTATCTCTGTTCCTTTTTATTAGTAGTACCACTTTTAGTATCTCATTTCTTGTTCCACATTTTAACAACCTAATGTAAGTTACTATCTGCTCCATTTTGTTTTATATGTTTTTCTAGAGAAATAATCAAACTCAAGAAAATATTAATTAATGTAGTTAAAATACAAAAATACTCTTATATATTATCTATACAATTCATTACAAACCAATAGAAATTCATTATAAATGCTGTTTCATTTCTAATGCAAGTGTAATATTGGTAAAAAGTGGTCAAATATGCCTCGATTTGTGAAAACGACAAATATTTTAAAAAAATCACCAAATTCTAAAACGACATATATTCCAAAATGAAGGTAATACGAAATTTTATGAATCATATTAATAGATTTTCCTACGACTAATTCTTTACATATCTCCAAAAAAAAAAAAACGGGAAAAAAAAAGGAAAGTAAAGGAAAGTAAAAACAAGGCCTGAAAACAGCCCATTGAGGAAAATGAGGTATTTCAATGTTTTGATGTCTTTCTCCCCATAGCTGTTGATCATCTATCATTACCTTCTCAAATTTCCACAACGACAGCTTAGGGGAAAAAAAAAGAGTTGAAAAGACCAAATGAAAATGGTAGGTGCGATTATGGGCGGAAAGAACAAAAGAAAAAGTCATATATTACTTCCTTGGCCTCATTTTCATAGTTTAGTTGCATTATTTTTTTAGTTTCAGTAAAATAGAGTATTAAAATGACACGAGACAATTCTATATTACATTCTGATGTTCGTTTAATAATGTTCACATGGACTTTACCAAAAACATCTAATCTACTCTAAGCATCCGCAGATTAAACTATTAAAGCATGTTTACCGGGGGAGATTAGTCTAAAACTTCAAAGTCAAACTTCAAAACTTACATTTTAAACTGTCTTTGTTTCCCCCCGGAAACTTCTCCAAGTCTCATACAACCTTTAATTTTTATTTTTTTAATTTTTTCCCCCCTAGATGATCTGCAAGCTAATCTCCCCAATTTCTGCGCTGATCATTCATCAATGCGCAACCAATCAATCATAAGTCTTCTTCACTCTTAGAGGTTTATGGTTTCCTAAAGATTTGAGCATTTCTCCATTTTTCAGTTTTTCATGAAAGATATGGTTGAAATGTCAAGTCTTGAGATGGAGAAGCAACAAATTGGCAGCAACATTTCAAAGGGTGAAGTGTCAAAATGCGTTGGGAATCCCACCAAAGCTATGGCGATTCTCCTGGTTTGCTCAATGGGTTCGTTTCTGTTTTCAGTATTGAAGGATCCATCCCCTGATAATGTCCCCTGGAATTCTCTATACAACTTCAGTTTATTCAATAAAGGTAACGTCTTTTTCCACTTATTCTTCAGCTTGAAGAAGGAAAAAAGGAAACTGAACCAAAAAACTTGTTTGCCCTTTTACACTTTCTTGTCTTAGGTAGTTTTCTCTTGGCAAAAAATGAAGGAACTTACAGTATAAACAGAAGGGTATAAAGTAAATTGATTTATATATTTCTTTTTTCTTGCTCCCAGATCAGGCAGGTCAGGTACCAATGGATGATAATAAACGGCTTCTAGGTGGCCTTCTTCCTCAAGGAATGGAAAAAGATTCATGTCTGAGCAGATATCAGATGGCATTGTATCGTAAGCGTTTGCAGAGAAAGTATCCTTCTTCCTACCTCATCTCCAGGTTACGGAGCTATGAAGCGACGCACAAAAGATGTGGACCGTATACAGAATCATACAACAGAACCTTAGAATACCTCAAGTCAGGGCAATACAACAGTACTTCACCAACAGATTGTAACTATATCGTCTGGATTTCGCTAAGCGGTTTAGGAAACAAGATGCTTACCATCGCTTCTGCTTTCCTTTATGCTCTCTTAACAAACAGGGTCTTACTGGTTGATCCTGGAGAAAACATCCCTGATCTTTTCTGCGAGCCATTTCCCGAGGTTTCCTGGTTGCTTCCACCTGATTTTCCAATCATAGATAAGTTTGATACTTTTAACCTTACATCTCCAGATAGTTATGGGAATATGCTGAGACATAGTGTTGTTAGCAATTCTACAGTGCCACCGTATGTGTATCTAAATTTGCTTCACGACTTAGATGATCACGACGAGCTTTTCTTCTGCGATCAAGAACAGTCTCTTCTCCACAAAGTGCCTTGGCTTATCTTAAAATCAAACAATTACTTCGTCCCGTCTCTTTTTCTTATGCAGTCTTTTGAAGAGGAACTCAATAATCTCTTTCCAGACGAGGGTTCTGTTTTCCATTTCTTGGGGCAGTATCTCTTTCATCCAACAAACACTGTTTGGGGACTTATCACCAGGTTTTACGAGGCTTATTTAGCCAGAGCAGATGAAATTATTGGCATCCAGGTAAGGATCATTGGAATCGTTGGGAAAGGTCCTGAGCCTTTAAAGTATGTAGTGGATCAGATTGTGGGTTGTGCGAGAAATGAGAATCTGCTGCCTGAAATTAGTGAAAAGAAGCCTATCATCAATCCTTCCAAACAACACAAGACGATGAAAGCCGTGCTAATCACATCTTTAAGCGCAGGATACTTTGAGACGTTGAGAGATATGTACTGGACACATCAAACTGCCACAGGAGAAATAATTGAGGTATACCAGCCAAGCCATGAAGAGAATCAACACACCGAGAATGAGATGCACAATATGAAAGCATTGGCAGAAATAAACCTGTTGAGTTTAAGTGATAAACTGATCACAAGCCCTTGGTCAACTTTTGGATATGTTGCTCAAAGTCTTGGAGGTTTGAGGCCATGGATTCTTGTAAAATCTGATAATCAAACACTCACGGATCCGCCTTGCTCTCGCGCTGCATCAATGGATCCTTGCTTTCATACACCTCCAAATGGTAATTGCAGAGAGAAAAATTGGGTGGACAAAGGGAAGATTGTTCCTCATGTTCAGCATTGTGAAGACAGGAGTTGGGGTCTTAAACTTGTCGATAGAGACAATGAATCATAGTGAATGTTATATTCATTTTTACACAATAGAATTGGGATTGTCTCCAACAATCCTAAACTTTGGCAGCAGATAATGTTCAAAGTACTTTTGATAGATCATAATGCACCTCATTTTATTGATAACAATTATCGCATCTCGTTATCGATCTGCAAAGATTGAATCATTGCATACTGAAATGAACATCTATTCAGGAAAAAGTACAGAATTTCATGTTGCCTTTTTCCTTTGACAGGTTTTTTAAACGGAAAACCACAGCTGTTTTCAGAAGATTGAATCATTACATTGATACAGAGCTACACAAACGGAAAACCAATCGTTGCAGCTAATCATAAGCCGTTTTTCCTTCTCACAGTGAGACTAAAAAACTCATCAGGAGGTGGTTTCCCAGTAAAAATAATTTAGCAGGCGAGAAAGTGCAAGTTCCACCATTGCCAAATCAATCAATCTTCCAGGGCACATCCTTCTCCTTTTCCCGAATACAACATCAGATTGTTCATGAATTCAAAAGAGGACACCAGAATTTCGGGACTTCAACTCAATCATGATCACCCTCTTCAGATGAAGAAAACTCTAGACAACAGATTGGGAGTAGAACCGGCAATCATCAACCAAAACTCAAACAGACCATTCTGTGAACCGGCAATCATTGCAAGACATCCTCGAAGAACAGTATATTCATGATCAAACTCGGATTTGTGTTCTTCAACAGTTATAGGATTGGAGGTGGTACTTCCTTGAATTTTTCTCGCTCGGTATACTTTGTAATCCTCTAGAGTTTTCTTACCCCAAACCATATGAGATACCATGAAAGGATGGCCTAACAAATACTATTGTCACATGGCATTATTGGAATTGACCCATATGAGCCTTTCACCAGAGCAAATATGATTTGGTGGTCGACTGGTAGTCTCTTGAAATACCACAATTGCTGCTGCTTTCGGTGGTCGAAGCTAATAGTGAAGAAAGTCAGGCGATTGATTAGTGTTGGGCGAAGCTGAGAGGATAATCTTCTTATCGAGGTTATAGAGAAGTCGCCATGAGCTCAGAACACACATTGTGGCCAGCATTATTGCTAGTTATAGTGTAATTCAGATTCTTAACAGGCTTAGAATTCGTTTTTCTACTCTTATTTGTTAAGAACACTAACGTTTAGAGGCTAATCTCAGGGCTACTTACAAAACACAAAACAAAACAACAGTTACTTCCGTCCCAAACTTAAAGAGTGTTTTTATTGAACTAAAATCGTATAACAAATCGAACCTCTTTCTTTGGAGACGGAGGTAGTATTACTTTCCAGGGGGGTGTGAACATATTTAATGTTTTTGCATCCTCCATTATGTTTTGTAACATAGCTCCAAACACTATGGCTTGATTATTGTTAATTAATGGTTATGTCTGTGTAGAGAATCATAACTTTGATCCAGGTTGAAGAATCAAGGTTATTTTGGTTGTTCTTAGTTACTGTAAATAGTACTAACTATAGAATTCAGTTTTTAGTCTTGTATACAGTTTTACTCTTTTGAGTTGTATAATGTTATAACTTAAGTTGGGGTAGAATGGTCTTTTTACTTATTAGTACTCAGACCAATTTATTAGCGTGTATGATTAGCAGCTGACTTACATGTGTATCTATACACTCGTACTGTACAGATTATTCAAGTTGATAATACAAAAAAATTTTCACAAATCCCCAATTTGAAACTGCATGCATGTTCTTCGACCAAACCTAAACCCTAGATAATGAACTTCCTGATTCTTCTAGATGGTATCAGAGCAGGTCAATCCTGCTTCTGAAAACTGTTCTAGCTAGAGAATCTTGAATAACCTCATAAACCGCTTCTGTTAATTCTTAGAAATGGATGAGAATCAGTTTGCGGAAGGTTCGCGAAAGATGCCAGCAAGAAACGAAGAAGCTCGAATAGAGCAAAGGAACGAAGGATTTCTTGATGATTGAAGCTTTGGAGAAGCTCGAAGAGAGAATTTGGCGGTTAATTTCTGTGGATACATGCATCCACTGACTTTGTTGCCATCTGATAGTCTCAGTTTGACAGTCATCAACTGTCAATTGACATCGAACAACTATGTGACATGGAGTCACTCAATGAAGAGAGCTTTGAGTTCGATGAATAAACTCGGATTCATAAATGGAACTGTTCAGAAACCGATAGTTGGAAGTTTTGAATATGAGCGATGGTGCAGATTTAATGATACTATGGTATCTTGGATCTTGAATTCTATATCTAGTGATCTTCTTGAACGTTCTAACATGGCAGTAGATGCAAAGGAACTGTGGCAAGATTTGAAGGATAGCTTTGGCACAAGCAATGCACCACAGATCTACCAGTTGAAGCGAGAAATTGGAAGGTTTGTGCAAGGCAATCTACATTTATCTGGTTATTACACTAAGTTGAAGAAACTATGGGATGAACTGAGCAGTATAGATCCTCCTGATATTTGTACCTGTGATGGTTGTACTTGTAAGCATAACCGACCTAATGGTGGAAAGGAAGAGAGAGATAGGCTTATGCAGTTCTTAACAGGCCTTAATGATGCATATTTGCCTATCAAGAATCAGATATTAGCTATAGAGCCGCTTCTTAATGTGAAGAGAGCATACGCTATGGTGATGAATGTTAAAAAAATAACAGAAGCAGTTGCATACTGATCTGGATAGTACTTCTGTACAAAGTGCAATGTTAGTTCAGAAATCAACATATAACGCTGGATCAGTTTCAAAGGGGAGATTTACCAACACAGGAAACAATACAGGACCAAGAAACAGTTTCAACAAAATTGGAAAAGAAAATGAGATGAGATTAGATAAAGCAGCCAAGAAGTTACTGAAATGTGACCACTATGGTATGACTGGACATCTCAGAAGTGGATGTTTCAAGATCATAGGATATCCAGAATGGTTTAAAGACTTGAAGGATCAAAGGAATACAAATACTGGTAGGATCACTGCACACAGGGCTGAAGCACCAACTGATTTGGATGATGTCAATGAAAGAGATGGCTCAGGAGATCTGATGGGAATGATGAACAACATCAAGAGGATGGAAATGGAGTTAAACAGAATGCTCAAAGGCAAAGGAACATAAGGGGAACACATCAACTTTGCGCATTTCTCATATTTTGCAGGTATTACTACTTTTAGAGCATTGAATTCATTTGAGTTTTTGCTGCTTCTATGTTGGATTTTAGATTCTGGTGCAACTAGCCATATGACATCCAATTTAGACCTTTTGACCAAACATAACCCTGTTGATTGTCCTACTCCAGTTTATCTACCAGATGGTAGCATAACAGAAGTTAAACACAAAGGTCATGTAGATGCTAACCAAAATTTTAATATTATATGACTGTTTACATATACCTTCTTTTAAACACAACCTTATGTCAGTATCCAAATTAGCATCATCCTCAAAGATTGATTGCTATTTCTCTACTACCTTTTGCCTGTTACAGGACCAAGTGACTAGGCAATTGGTTACAGTTGGAAAGGTGATCAACCAGCTCTACATTGTTGATCATCAATCCTTTTTAAAGACCAGAATTTTAGAGTTTACTAGTACACATATTGATCATCCTTTTGTGAAATGTGTTAAACCTGTATTCACTCTTCCAATCATGTAAATAGTATGAATAATGCATTGTGGCATGTTAGGTTGGGACATCCTTCTGAAAAGATTGTAAAGATGCTTTCTCTGTATGATCCATCAGATAATAAAATCTCAGTTTGTGAAATTTGTCTCTTGGCTAAATAGCATAGAATTCCTTTTCCAACTAGTGTTATTCATAATATTGAAACTTTTGAGTTAGTTCACATGGATATCTGGGACCATATAGCCAAAAATCTTTATGTGGAGCTCACTATTTTCTAACCATAGTGGATGATTATAGTAGAGTCACATGGACCTTTCTTATGAGAGACAAATCTTAGACTTTTAGTCGTACCAAAACCTTCATCAAGCTTCTTCAAACACAGTTTCAGAAATCTCTTAAATCCATTAGAACAGATAATGGTTTAGAATTTCTTAGCCAAGAATGTCAGAACCTCTTTTCAGACTTAGGTATCATTCACCAAAAATCATGTGTTTACAATCCACAACAAAATGGAGTTGTGGAGAGAAAACACAAACATCTTTTGCAAGTGGCTAGATCACTCCTTTTTTCAATGAGGATTGGCCAAAATTTTTTGGGGTGATACTGTTCTAACAGCCACTTATCTCATAAACAAACTACCATCATCAGTTCTTGAAAGAAAAATACCTTATGAGATTCTATTCTCATAATTACCAGATTATCACACTTTAAGATCTTTTGGTTGTTTATGCTTTGCCACAAATACAATTCCTCACAAAACCAAATTTGAACCTAGAGCCATTAGAACCATCTTTATTGGATATCCACATGGCCAAAATACATATAAACTCTATGATCCCATTGACAGAAAGGTGATCATTTCTAGAGATGTGGTTTTTCATGAAACCATATTTCCATACAAAACAGAAAAACCTATCAGTCCATCTCTTCTCCCCAAAATTCATACATTGATGAATCTTGGCTTGTTATGCAAATAGACAACAATTCTTCTGTTGATACTTTTATATCACAAAATCCTTCCAATGATCATGAACATGAAGCTCATTCTCCTATTTCATCTTCTGATCATCAAATTCCTGAATTCATTCCATCTTCTAAATCCATTCCTGAACAACACATAACCCTTAGAAAGAGTACTAGAGTTAGCAAAGATCCAATATGGATGAAAGACTATGTGTCACAGCATGTCAAAAGAAAGTCTCATGCTTCCCACAGGTCTGATACTTCTGATGATCAGGCTTGTCATACCATTTATGCATACCAACCTGTTTTCTCAGACCATCATTTAGCTTTTCTAGCCCAAATTGATAGCATACCAGAACCAAAAACTTACATCCAAGCTAGAACTTGTCCAGAATGGATAGCAGCAATGCAAAATGAGTTAAATGCTTTCGAAGAAAATCATACTTGGGAATTAACATTTTTACCTCCAGGAAAACGAGCTATAGGTTCAAAATGGGTGTATAAGGTTAAGTATCATTCAGATGGTAATATTGAAAGATACAAGGCTAGACTTGTGACTAAAAGGTATAATCAGATTGAAGGGAAAGACTTTTATGATAGTTTTTCTCCTGTTGCTAAGATTGTTACTGTCAGAATGCTTCTTGCTCTAACTACTGCAAAAGGATGGCCCTTGCATCAGCTGGACATCAACAATGCATTCCTACATGGCAGTTTGGAAGAAGAAGTTTACATGCTGCCACCAGAGGGTTATACATTGGCCAAACTAGGATAGGTTTGTAAACTCAAGAGATCTCTTTATGGCTTGAAGCAAGCTTCAAGACAACAGAATGCAGATTTTACTTCACAGATTTAGCATTATGGTTTTTTCCAGTCCAAACATGACCCTTGCTTATTTACTCTTAGTCAGGGAGTTAAGTTCATGGCTCTTATTGTGTATGTGGATGACATACTAATAGCAGGGTCAGATGAAGATGCTATCATTGCAGTAAAGAAGTTTTTGCACAAGAGTTTTACCATTAAAGATCTTAGGTATGCATAGTATTTCTTGGGAATAGAATTGGCTAGGTCATCAGAAGGTATATATCTTAGTCAAAGAAAATATATTCTGGATATTATTCAAGATATGGTTTTCTCAGGATGTAAAGCTACTACTACACCCCTACAGAAGGGATTGCAATTTGGAGAAGATTGTCGAGATCTTATTTCAGATTCTTCACTTTACAGAAAGTTGGTGGGAAAACTTCTTTATCTGAATTTTACTAGGCCTGACATATCCTTTGCCGTTCAACAACTTAGTAAATATGTTCATGCACCCTGTGTGGACCATTGGAATGCATTGATTCACACTCTCAAATATCTGAAAGGGACAGCAAGCACTGGTCTTCTTTATTCCTCTCATTCAGATTTTAAATTGGAGGCCTATGCAGATTCAGACTGGGGTACAAATCAATTCATAGAAGATCTCTCACCGGTTATTGCGTGTTTCTTGGACCAGCATCGATCTCCTGGAAGTCCAAACAGTAGACCACCATCTCCTGTTCCTCTGCTGAAGCAGCATGCAGAAGTCTCATCATCATCAGTAAGGAGTTGTTATGGATTTCTTATCTTCTCTCAGATTTCTAGATTGTGTTGCCTCTTCCTATACTTGTGTGGTGTGACAATCAGGTTGCCATTGACATCACTGAAAATACAGTGTTCCATGAAAGGACAAAACACCTTTCCATTGACTGTCATTTTGTCCGGGAGGAAAAATTGGCCAATCTACCCTAACCTTTACATGCGGTTGTCAATTCTACCTATTCTTTTTCGATTAGCCAATATTACCCTAAGTCATTCAACCGTTAGCCAATTTTGTCCAATTTGCCAATTTTCGTTTAAATTAACGGATTTTCTGTTAGTTATAATTATAAAAATATCCTAATAGTTTTAAAAATTATAAAAATGACCCTAAAAATTTGTGAAAATAACAAAATAGTCTCTTTTCACTTTTTATTTAATTTTTTCTGTTTTTTATTTCTTTTTACTATTTTTTATAACTATAAAAATATACTATATGATCTTTTAGAATAAAAATTTATTTTTAAACAATACTGCCTAAATTTATAGATATACATATTTGTAATTCATGGTTGATTTACATAAACATATTAATTTTTTTAATACTATGGCTAGAAAATAATGATATTATTTTTCTAATCCATTTTTTTCAATTTAAAGAATAAGATTTTTTTTTTTTTACTAAAACTAATTTTTTTACAAAAAATAAAAAAATTTAGCATAGATTAAAAAATAATCGGCCAAATTTTCTATTTCATAAGAGTATATATAAGATTAAGTATCACCAAAGGATTTCTAACCGGGAGAGTGATTTTATCCATATTTAAGCGGGATTCACTAAAGGCGAGAGGGTTAGATGGTCAGGTCATTTAGGATGTGAGATAAAATTACTGTGTTCGATGTCTCAATTCTCACTGGGACAATCTAATTTTTTTTTTTTTCAAAAAAAAGACTTTATGCTAAAGTTAGATATATTAATATCTCAAAAAAATATCGTAAAATGTTAAACCCTCGCAATGATAAATATAAATATTTTTTTATAAAATATTTTGTACCATTTTTGTAAATACCATGACACTATATTCTTGTGTTGGGCCGATGTAGAAATGAAATAGGTATTTTTTTCTTTTACTTTCTTTTCATACTTGGCCTTTTATAGAAAAATTTATATTTTATTTTTAATTATTTTTTAAATTTGATGATACAATCTAAAGTCTGTTAAATTAAATTGTAATACATTAAAGTATGCCAATAACTTCTTTTTTAATCTATGTTGAATGTGTTATTTTTTTGTGCAAAATTAGTTTTAGTTAAATAATCTTATTCTTTAGATTGAAAAAAATAGATTAAAATAATAATATCATTACCGTTAAACCATATTATTAAAAAAATAATATGTTTATGTAAATTAAACATGACTTACAAATATCAAATTATAAATTTGTACATTAGAGTTTAAAAATAAATAGATTTTTTAATAGATCATATAGTATATTTTTATAGTTATGAAAATATTAAAAAGAAATAAAAAAAAAATTAAGCAAAAACTGAAATGAGACTGTTTTTTTTTTTTGTAAATTTTTTGTGTCATTTTTATAATTTTTAAAATTATTAGGGTATTTTTGTAATTAAAACAAATAGAATTCCGTTAATTTAAACGGAAAAGAGCAAATTGGACAAAATCGGCTAACGGTTGGATAGCTTAGGGTAATATTGACTAATCGAAAAAGAATAGGATAGAATTGACAACGCTTTAAAAGTTTCGGGTAGATCAGCCAATTTTTCCTTGTCTGGGAACTGTATCAGAAAGGTTTTCTAGTTCCACTCTATGTTTCTACACATGAGTAGATAGCAGACATGTTAACAAAGTCACTGGCCTACCCTCAATTTGCTAATCTGTTGTCCAAGCTTGGAGTGAAGAAGTTCCTTCCCTTTCCAGCTTGCGGAGGGGATGTAGAGAATCATAACTTTGATCCAGGTTGAAGAATCAAGGTTATTTTGGTTGTTCTTAGTTACTGTAAATAGTACTGAGTATAGAGTTCAGTTTTTAGTCTTGTGTACAGTTTTACCCTTTTCAGTTGTATAGTGTTATAACTTAAGTTAGGGTAGAATGGTCTTTTTACTTATTAGTACTTAGACCAATTTATTAGCGCGTATGATTAGAAGCTGACTTACATGTGTATATAAACACTCTTACTGTACATATTATGCAAGTTGATAATACACAAAAATTTTCACAAATCCCCAATCTGAAACTTCATCTCCGTTCTTCGACCAAACCTAAACCCTAGGTAATGAACTCCCTGATTCTTCTAGAGTCTGTAAATAGTGCTCAGCAATTTTCCATGAGGGTGAAAACAAATGTTCTGCCACTTGCAATCTGACGTAAATTTTCAGCTTTTATGCGTAGAAAGAGAAGTGAAACTGATGTTTTCAATTCCTTCATTTGTGAAATCAAGAGGGTTCGGCTACTTATTCATAGTCTGAGGTATAGTTAGGAGACAAAAGACTCTCTTTAAAGGTCATTATCAGTACCCAAAGTCCATATCCTGCCATTATCTACTTGACACAACCATTTTGGGACTGTGGGAATAACAAACAAAGATCCTAAAATGTCATAAACTACTAGTTTCCTTTCATCAAAATAACATATTCCTATAAGAAGAGCTAAATAATGCAAAGAATATGAATCTAATATACAAGATCCAAACCACAAATGCTTTTGAGAATATTAAGCCAATGCAGAAGATCCAACCACAAAAGATTTTGCTTCACAAACTTCCTGAGACATAAACATAACAACTATTCAAAGGGTTTAAAATTCCAACAATTGTCGATTCAGCAGGGAGTGGATTCAATTGAATTGAAATAGGAACACAGCAGAAAGAAAGCTGGAACGGTTACAAAAGATGCAAAATGACGTTATAAGATCAAGTTTTGCACAATAAACCAACTTGCAGCTCGATCTAGATTGATCGATAACACAAAAACACAAAATCTCTCTTGGTTTGTGACAGTTCCACAATCTGCAGTCTAACCCTTCTAAAGCTACCAATCACCAAATCAAAAATATCCTCATATTTCTGAAACACTGCCTAACTTCTTTTTATAAGAATGAAAACAAACTTTCACTTCTCACATGACAACTTCTTGCATTTCAACACAACTTTTCACTTTGTCTGCATAAAAATCAAAGTGAATCCGCTTCCCATTTGCTTATGTAATCAGGAGGATTATGCTTCTTTACTTAAGACCCGTAATTAGGAGACAAGAGACTCTCTTTAAAAGTCAATATATCATACACATTTTCATTTGGGAACCCAACCATTTCTAGATCCCTCCATACTCCACTTGACGGAGTAAGCGCAACCCACTTCCAACAATCCACCACAAAAACAACCTTGTCATCACTCAGAAGATAAGTCGGTCTAAATCCGGAAAAACCTCCATATGGACGACAAGCGATGGTAAATCTAGTCCAAGACTCTTGCACCCCGCAATCCTTCATCACCCACACATCAAAATCATAGTAATAGTAACAAAGAATCAATGCAAGACATCCACCACAAGTAGTGAGTCTACCACAATGAATGTTAGCAATATCTTTAGGAGATGGCACTACTTTGTCAAATCTTTCATGGGTCAAGTTGAAAACAGTAGTAACCGTAGGTGCGGGAGATGAGACTTGAGTCTGATTGTCAGTAGCCAACAAATGCACATATCCATTCAGCAACACTCCATCCTGACCATAACCAAAAGATTCAAAAGATTCATAATGATCATAAGAAGAATCCGGTAGGCTCTTCCAAGTTTTCGTTTTCACACTGTAAACATCCACTTTTGTTTTGGGGAGCTCGGGCTCAAGACGAGCACGGCAACACAAAATGGTGACAATCTTGTAGTCAACATTAGTATCATTATATCCTAAAACATGCACATAATGTTCAAAAAATGCCTTGAAAAAGCCAAATGGTTGTAGTTTAATCGCCTCCGAAGTAATGAGATTCATCAAAAATTTACTGCATTCATTGCTTATCAGAACCAAACCATGGCATGAACTTTCCACCTTACACCTCCTCCCCAACATTTCTCGTTGAAATGGACAAACCACTCTTCTTGAAACCCGACTGTTCCTACTCCTATCAGTGCTCTGATCAGTAGAGAGCGTCACCACAAGGATTCTAAATCCATTACTATGAGTTCTTCAGGGTCATGAAGGTTGTGAAAATTAAGGTGGTCTCTTATAAATTGAGGGTTCGAGAGAAAAGATCGCCATGATTTTGAAACACACCTAAACTGACCAATTTATTTGGCTGGAAGATGCACTAAGATATCCTCGATGAGTTCCTCGGGAAGGCTTTCACGACCAAGGATGGGCACTTCTTGGTTTTTCTCGTTCAATTAAAGCAACATTTTGCCAGGCTAAATTCATAAATCTTTCCAAATTAATATCTGAAGTGAAACAAGGGATGAAAAAAATGTACAAATTCAATAATTAAAAAGAGGGTTTTTTTTCTTTCCCTCAAATTTCACAAACCAAATATAACCATCTGATTCTTACCGCTGGGGTATCTGGCAATAGGGTGAAAGACGACGAAAGAATTTCCAGTGGGCTTGGAATTTTTGATCGCTGAGGGTGAAATTCAGGTCCCAAAAATCGCTAATTTGATGAAGCGACGATGGCCATATGTAAATCAGTTCTTGAAGATTGTCAACTTCCTGTTGTGGATGAAGAAAAAACCTCTAAAGATCCAATGAAGTGAAGATGTATATAATGACAGACATTATTTGTCAGGCTGGAGAGACAGAGAGGACTTCCTAATTTTGAGCCCAAGAAATGACCATCTCTTTCAATATGATCTCTTTTTTTAGGGTGTTAAAATTTGAGTTATCTAGTCGAAAAAATTTGTGTATCTTATCTACTTCTAACAATTTTTTATAAAATATATTTGTAGTTAGTTGTTGGGATTTAGTCCGTTTGGCTGAGATGTTTAAAACGTGCATTTTATGATTTTTTTTTTTTTTTATTATTATTATTATTATTATTATTATTTTGGTACAAGAATATTATGATATTTGAACTCGGGACTAATGGTCTGTTTCAAAAGTTCAAACCATTTGAAGATCATGATGTTGGTATGGTGATAATAAATACAACCTAAACAGCATTTTGGACATGAAGAATAACAAGAGTGCAATGTGAAGCTTACAAACTTTAGCCACCAAGGAAATACTATATCTTTATGATAAAAGTGAAGTCAACGATATGATTAGATGTATCAAAATGATCAATATTTGTAACTAGGAGACAGAAGTAGAAGACTTTCTTTAAATGACATTATTCCTTCTCTCAAATGATTCAGGATACATGCAACTTGAATTCAACTCTAAAACCCATTCAAGTAACGGGATTCACCTGAAAAACACACTTGAATCGCCCCATTGAGTTAGCCGGAAGGCGTATTAGTGTATTGTTGAAAATTAGATTATCATTTTGAAGAATTTGGAGTTCCATCTCAAAACCGAATGATTAATGAGTAAAGAGTTTAACACGTACCACTTAACATATCATCCAATGAAAGATGTCGAACATTATTGTCGAGTGGACATGAGATCCTAGTACTAAAGCTGGGAAAGGAATTGAAACAGTAACTCGCCCAAACAAATTTCAGAGGCTTGTCAGGAAGCTCTCCAAATATAAAGGGATCAAACTTATTTGTGGTATGATTATAAGGAAAAACAGGACAACAAGATTCCTGATTTTCTGGCCTATCATTCATCAATACCATTTCACCCGTAGGGAGGTTACCTTTTGAAACAACAAAATCTTCAACCTCAACAAGTTCTTTAGGTAACTGCACACAGTACTCATTCCATTTCTTCTTATCTTCATCATCTTCTAACACAAAGAGTTTATAACCTTTGACAGCCTCATGATCAGGAACTATCCAAACAGCCAAGCTCCCATGGATTTCGCGAAGATGATCCCTCGACCATTACATATGGCGTCGATTGAACCTTGTGGAAGCTTAATTAGTAGGAAATTCTCCTCTTTGAGATCAAAATTCAACAGGGAAAAGTTTGGCCTTGAAAACCAACAAAAGGCTCCATAACCATAACCTGTCATTTCTGTTTGGAAGTCCTCAAGAGGTATATCACTGGTAACGAATGCATCATAATCGAGCTTCCTCTATGGCGATAATGAACCAGAAGGTCTCAAGGTCGGTATCTTGAATCGAAAGGGCGGATCAAAAGGCCTGAAAGAATCCCTTTGAAAGCAGATGGCAAACCTCAACAATTTGCACGCCCTGCCCAATGGGTCATACCCAAAATGAAATATTGATATCATCTCAACATCTTCAGGTAAGTTTGGTTTATTGTGCACCTAGAATTCTCATCATCTGTCCAGTAAATACATTTCAAATAGTTAAACTGAGATCATCATCACAAATGCACAGAAGACCGTTAACCACTTGAGTCATACTCCCGCGGTCGCCGGAGAGTATAGTTAGAGAAAACTAGGCGCGTATCCTTATCATCCCTCACCATTGTTGGATCAATCTCTTCTATCCAATAAAGTGATAGGCCAACTGGTCGGGGACTAGGGTAAGCTTCCAAAAACAAAGGTTTTTTTTACCATTTGTCGCCAAGATCTGCACATGCACTTGCACCAGGCCAATTGCTGACCCGGAACCCTAATCAGGATTCCCAACACTAACTCGTCCGATAGCATCAGCATTGGCTGCATTGCCGGACTTTCCCCGGCTATCGGACTTGTTATACTCAATGTGGGAATCCAGCGGAATCCAAAACCTGGTTTGGAACTTGAAGTTTACAAGAGAAAAAAGATGGGTTGAACTTTTCAAATGAGTTCATCTTAGCTTCAATTATCGTATTCTACTTACAGGAGAAACCAAGTTCTCCCAAGATGGACTCAATGTTACACTTCTCATCAGTTATCATTTTGGTGAGATTTGCGTTGACTTTTTTCTCAAAATAGTGAAAGCTTGTTAGTTTTTTTTTTTTTTTAAGTTGTCCTTATTATTAATAATATATCTATTTCTATTCCTATTATAAAGCGGGAAGCCTGATTACTGCAGTTAAATGTACTGAAGTCTTTTCTTGATCGAATGGGAGGCTTTTTAAGTAGTAATATTTGATTTCATTGGTCACACTTCAGCTATGAACGTCCACGACTTTAGGTTTGTTTTGCTATCAACTTTTCCGATGTGTAATTGTGCGAATTGGAGGATTTGAAGCATAAACTAGATTTCTTTTATGCAAATCTGTCTGGTCATGTATCGTATCCAATGCTTTTAGTTTCACTGTTTAATTCTAAATTTATGGAGCCACTTTATTAACGTAACATTAGTACATGTGTCTAAATTTGTATTTGAAAGATGAGAACATTGCATGATCAAAATAAGAAAAAGTGCTTACTATTTGTTATGTGTTTATTTGCAGAACACGACAATTAAAAAAAAATTGAATGGGATCAGATATGGTGTGACGCCAAACATTGTAGTAATCTTTTGTATTTACTTTTACTCAATTTTGATGCATGTATGTAATCTTATGAAGAATACCTTTGATTATCAAACAATGTAGCCTCGATTATCAATATAGTTGTTTGATTTTGTGAATATGTACATTGCAGTCCGCCGAGGTGGAAACAAGAGTTACCTAGTGGTAGAAAACGTAGCTGCTGCTATATAGAAATTTGAAAAACAATTTATCTATAGAGGAAATTTTTAAATTATCCTTAATAATGATTGGCTTGATCATCAAATCCCATGTACTTCATCAAGTATTTTGGGATTTCACCTTCCAATGTCCTATGCATCAAAGACATGAATGTCCTGAATTGATGACCATCGAAAGATGTCTCCAAGTAGAACATGAATCCAGGATTAAAAGGAGGACCTAAGAGTTAAAGGAAAAACGATACTAAATTTAATTAACTAAAATGATAACAAACTTTCAATGAACAGTTATAAAAATTTTCCTACTTAAATGGAGTCTTCATAGTTCATACCACAACTTTATCTTCACTGAAAGAAAGTTAAATTGGCCTTCTGACTGGATACCTCTAGGACAAAAATATCTACCTTGAAGACATCAAGTTTGTGCTGCAAGAAATAACATTTGGATTTGAGGAACATATTGAATTATTGATTCCCTTACTTACTTCAACATGCTCGAACTTTCACGGATTCGCCAGGAAGTTAGCATAGTAGTGTGTTGGCCATCTCATTAAAAATTTATCGGATGGATTGTTGGCCCTGATGATGCATAGTTTTGAGGCCTCTTGAATATCACAATTGTCAGAGATCTGGATATTATACTCCATTAAAATAATTGTCCAAGATAAAAAAAAAAAAAAAAACTAATGTGTTGCAATGCGATTAAAAAATTTTCCTCTCATAATTCAAAACTGTATAGTAAAATCTTTAACTATACAAATGAAAATAAGCAAATATTATTAAATACATATAAGAATCAACTTTTACTGAAAGCATTGAGGTTTAATTCCACGTTGTATGGGTAAAATATGATACTATTAGTAGTAAAAAAAAAGTTAATGCTCCACTAGTAGAATAACAAGAAAAATCAAAATTTCTCGCCTAAAGCAACTATTGGAGAGAGAATGAAAGATGTGCCATGATGTGGTTAAAAGTTACCCCGCCTAAAACATCAATTTTAAACCCCATCGTCATAATAAAATAAACTTTAATGAACTGAACAAAAAAGGTCCTATTAAAAATGTTTTAAAAAAAACTATTATAATGATTGTGAGAGATTAAAAAAATTAAAATCCTAAGGGTAAATTTACTAAAAAATTTAAAATAAAATATATATTTTTTAATTCAAACTTAATAGTCCTAGTGTCAATCTTAAGAAAGTAATTATCAAAAATAAATAAAGTTGATGTACCGCAACAATGAACGCACCCAAGCTATGAATATAGTTTTCATTATAGTAGACTCCGTGATATTTGATCTTTGATTTTGTGGGGAGGATAGTTATCAAGAAAACATTCTTATATAATGATTTTAGATTAAAAAAATAGATATAATGTGATTGTAACAAGTTGATAATAACTTTGAATTATTTTTTTTGTATTGTCAATATGTATGGAATCCTAGTGTTTTTTAGTGGCTGACTGATTATAGTAGTGAATGAATGAGATTAGTGTAATAACAAAAGTTGTGAATAGTGTTGAAATCTAGTACTCAAAAGAAGTAAAAAGTATTAATTAAAATTGTATAAAGTATTGGGGCAAAAGTATGATTAGGGTTGTCCGATCCAGCGGGTTCGGTCAGTTTAGGTGAATTCGGTTTGGGTTAATTGGTTTTTTTTCAGCCATATGAACCGCCCTAAACCGAACTGCGAAAATTATTAAACCAAACCGAACCGACCGAATAAACAATCAGGTTGGGTGGTTTAGTACAAACTGAACATTTTACAAACTGAAAAATGAATATTTCAGGTAGCAAACTTAAATCAGCAAAAATAACAACACAAATTGTGTCAAATGTTCACAATACAAATGTCAAACGGTCTCATTCCGGCATTCGGCATTCAACAAATGAACTAAATGAGTAAATGTACTTCACTGCCAACAGGTGACACTGACAGACCATAACATTACAAGTTTACAACAAATTTAAAAAGTTCATTACAAGTCCACAATCCAAACAACTTAAAAATTGAAATTTAAGAACAAAACACTTAAAAAGAGTTGAAAATACTGAAAAACAGATTTCAGTCTTCACAATTCAACTTCAGTCTTGTCTTCACAGAATCACAGTTCACAGTTGCA